CGATTCATTCAAACCCTGCATGAAAGCTTGTACTATCCAGTCATTTGAGACCGGTGGTAACTCCATTCGCTCCATCTGGAACCTAGATACGAATTCCCTTAACATCTCGCCGTTCCTCTGTTTTATCTTGAAGACGTCCGATTTTCTCGTGGCCACCTTTATGGCCCCAGCGTGTGCTTTCACGAAGGCGTCTGCTAACATAGCATATGAATCAATAGAGTTAGACCTAAGTTGTGATACCAAATCACAGCTCCTTTTGATAGTGTTTCCCCAAACTTTTTCAACAACACTGACTCGATTTCATCGTCATTCAAGTCATTTCCTTTGATCCCATAAGTGTATGAAGTAATATGTTCGTCAGGGTTGGTTGTCCCGTTATATTTGGATATATCGGGCATGCGAAACTTCTTGGGAATGGGCATCGGAGCCGCACTCGGGGGGAATGATTTTTGTATGAACTTTTTGGCATCTAAACCTTTCAAGACCGGAGGTGCCCCCGGTATTTGATCCACACGGGAGTTGTAAGTCTCCACCTTTTTGTCATTTTCTTCAATCTTGTTTTCTCCGAACTCGATCCTCTTGGCGAGCTCTCGAGCATCCTCAAAATTGTGGGGTCAGTCCCCGAGCCACTTTCATCGGACCTTTCTAGTGCTGGTTCAATATGCCGAGTATTTTCTGGTTCGGCTGTATTTGGAGTTTTATTCTGACTTTGAAGTTCCGCGATGGCGATTTGCTGAGCTTGCAGCATCTCGAATATCACTTAGAGGTTGACTCCCCCATCTCCCATTCCCTGTGTTCTTTGGCCACCGGATCGGGCTTCCCTGTGTATATTTCCTTCGAGGTCCGTGCCTAGATCTGCATTCAGAGCAATGTGCGAACTAATATCAACTGGTTCCACATTTGGCACTTCACCTGGATTTATCGGTGGTACACCGGCCCCTGCATTGATGTTTTCTCCAAGACCTTCGTTGTCATGAATGGGTGCATTTTGTGAGCTAGACATGTTTCAGCCTGAGAATCAAAAACCCTTGACAACAAAAAGTGTAAAAACAACGCGTGTAACGAGAATCAGTAAAAAAATAATCACTATTATCTTTAGCCCCACGGTGGGCGCCAAACTGTTTACCTCGAAAATATGAGTAACAATTAAATTTGATTTGTGGTTTTAAAGATTGGTAATTTAGTTCAATACCAATTAATAATCAAGAAGTATGAAATAGAAATGAAAGAGACAAGTGAATCAAACCAATGTAACTCAGCAGCAGTGACCTCGAGCTAAGTGACCTCGAGGTAGGCTTAGAACAATAAGAACAATTAAGTAATAAAAGTAAAGTAAGAACATTAGAGCTAAAGGACAATGCTGACGAACAGTAGGCGAAAAAGGTAGAGAGTATATCATTTTCTCAATGGTAAGATGGCGTTACAAATGATTGGGGTCCCCTTTTTATAATAGGGGAATCCCTAAATAAGGTATATTTCTATTTATAGTAAGGAATATTCTTGATACAGCTGTCTAACCGCCTAGTACGGAATCGTACAATCCTATTCCGGGATTTGCGCCATGATCCTGGGGACGTGGCAGGAATCTAGCTCATTCTGTTAGAGATTCATAACGATACTATTTTGGGGTCAAGCATACTCAGCCCTGGCACTCCTCGTACTCCCATCTCTCGAGTATTGCACTCTGTCTTCAAGCTCGAATTTGGTCCATCGGGCTCGAACTCGACCTTGCCCGGACTTGGGCCCAGGATGGACCTTCGAGCCTATAAATCGGAGGCCTCTGATTTTGACCGTATACACGTTGATATTGGTGGTCCCGAGCATTTTAAATATTTTATGGGATTAAGAAACACAAAAGAAGAGACACGTAAAACCATTTCTCTCTGAGGTGAAAATTTACGTTTGTGTTGGTATATTTGAAACTTGAGTGAGAAGAAAGCTCAGTCCGCTTAGAAGCTAAAGATGGCAATGCTCGTTGAAAAATTTTGTGTTAACACTTAAACAACAAGTTATGATCCCTGGCCATCAAATACTTGATAAAATAGAAAGGCAGACAAATGGGAATGCAAGCAACAAGCAGCAAGAAACAAGATTTTAGAACAACAGTATCGACTAACCCAAAGTGCCACGCCGAGAGGTAGAAGTTACAATGGATGGCCAAAGAATACACTATGGAGTAGGGGTGGCAATTTGAGCCCAAACCCGCCCAACCCACCAAATTCGCCCAGAGATTAATGGGTTGGGCTACAAACATTTTAGCTCATGGGTCAATTTGGACTGACCCCAAGTTAACCCATTATTTTTAGGAAATTTTACACCCTATAGAAAACCTTAGTAACCTATTTATTTTAAATAAATACCATTTTAAAATATTACATCCTATAGATACCTTTTATCCTTTATAGCAAAATATCTAATTATAGTTACATCCTACATTTAAGGCACCATATATGCTAAATAACATTTTTCTCTCTCCTTTTTAGTCTTTTCTCTCACATAATCACCGTATATCGGCTCTAACCACGTTTTCTCTCTCTCTCTCTCTCTCTTTTTGCATACACTTTACTCTCTTCTCCCACAAACCCACGATTCATACCTCTTCTCCCGCCCAAATTCTCTAGGTCTCCGCCATTATCACTCCCCATTTCTTTTCTCTCTAAAATCACTGTTTTAGAGCCGATACAAGTGCTTAGGGTAAGTTTAATTCTTAGATTTTGATATCATTATTTTGTTTCTCTAATTTTGATACAAATTTTAGTTTGTTTCTGAAACAATAACCATTGGTATTGTTTACTTGACTACAACTGTATTCAGTTGTATTCAGCTATAGTCAGTTGTATTCAACTATTTTAATCAGCTGTAGTCAGTTGTATTCAACTGTTTTATTCAGCTGTATTCAGCTGTAGTCAGTTGTATTCAACTATTTTAATCAGCTGTAGTCAGTTGTATTCAACTGTTTTATTCAGCTGTATTCAATTGTATTATTCATATGTATTTCTCTGTATTCAGCTATATTCTTTAATAGTTTGATTAATTGGACTCACACAATGTAATTAAATTTGTGTATAGCATATTGACGTCATATTCTACTATCTGAGAAAGAAGGGAAAGTACAATCAAACAAGCAACTTCAAGTATACAACTGTTGATTGTATATTCAAGACAAGAATCGCTGAAATCTTCGACAGGTATGCTGATACAGATAGTTATGCTAATGTAGCCAAAGAAGAGGATGTGGTATGTGAGTACATAAGGGGATACAGATTGCTAGCTAATGTACCTTGGCATACTATGGATAATGTCTTGATACCAGTCAACTTGAAGGACAAACTACACTGGGTATTGGTTGTTGTCTCATTCAATGAGAGATGTATCAAAATGTATGACTCGTACAAATCTGCAGGTCATGATGCCTATGTAGCTTCTGAGATTGATAAGCTAGCTAAGCTTGTACCTCTGTATCTATCAATCAGTGGCTTTTACAGAGATAGTCAAGGCATAGATTGGTCTACTTACTCAGCATACACTGACAAGTCACATAATGATCCCTTTGAAGTTTTTTTCATATCAGATCTGCCTCAACAGAAAGCTGGGAGCATGTAAGTATTCAATCATCATTCTTGTATGTTATATACAAATCTAATTGTATGAATTATTTTTAATTGTTTCAATCAATTATTTTTTAGGGATTGTGGGGTGCATGTTGCAGCATACGCAGAGTTTTTGAGCACTCTTGGTGAGATTCCACAAACAACATTTGATTCCAATCTACTCCGTCAAAGATATGGTGCTCTCCTCTGGGACTATGCTATGCAGAAGATAGACATTGATGCCATAAGCGAGAATGAAGCTCCTTCAAAGATTGCTAGGCAAATCACGGAGTCAGATTCAAAGATGCAGATAGTGTCAGAGTAGCTTTAGGTTAATGTAGTTTTGAAATGTAGTTTTTAGGTGAATACTGTTTTGAGTAGTTTTTTGGTAAAGATGGTATTTAGTTAGAAAAACTAATCACTTTATCAACAGTGTTCGTGTATGACAATTGCAACTTTTCAATCGCTGTTTCACTGGTTTGTTCATACGTATTCATGCTTATTCTTCAGTTTGTATTCATCTGTATCTTACAGGATTCAAGTATGTATTAATATTCAGTAACTTTGCTTGAATAGGTTTTAGGTAATGAACATGTTAATATCAAAGTCAGAAACTTTATGTATTCTGATGGTAGGTTATATTAAAGAATTCAGATGTATTTTTCTGAATTCAGGTGTATTCAGTTGTATTCGAATGTATTTTTCAGCTGTATTCAGTTGTATTCAGCAACATTCATTTATATATATCTTTCAAGTTCAGTTAATACATATTAAAGAATAAAAATTCAGATGTATTAAACAGGTTATACGTATTCAGTTGTAGTCAGTTGTATTCAACTGTTTTATTCAGCAGTAGTTAGTTGTATTCAAGTGTTTTATTCAGCTGTATTCAGTTGTATTTTGTTGTATTCATCTATATTCAGTTCTACTCAACTGTATTATTCATATAAATACATCAGCTGTATTCAGTTGTATTTTTTTGTATTCAGCTGTAGTCAGTTGTATTGAACTGTATTATTCATATGTATTTCTCTGTATTCAGCTATATTCTTTAATATGTATCTTTCAAATTCAGTTAATATTTGAAAAATAATATAAATTCAGATGTATTAAACATGTTATTGTCTAGTTAGATAATATAAATTCTGACTTATTGAAATTGTTATATTACAGCTGAGTATAGATATATTCTGATGAATTCTGACTAGTTATGTATATAACTCAGGCACTGTCTATAATAAACTGTCAAAGTATATGTGGACAAGGCTATATTCGATTGTATCCAACACATTAAGGCAACTATATGTATTCAGAATCTATTCACGAAAGTCATTTCAGAAATTATTACTTGACAATGTCATCATAAGTGTTGACAAATCGTTGAAGCACCAATACATGTCAGAGTGTTAACTATTTATTACGTGGAGCATTTCTACACGTTCGCTTGTTATGTCCTCCCTGCCCACATGTGCTACATGAATGTTGATTTTTCGGCTGCAGCAATTCACTTAAAGGTTTATCGCGCTTCTTCTTTGGCCTTCCAGAAGGTCTTTTCCATTTGGGTGGTAGTACAACCTCCTCTGCAACATGTGCTGGTATATTCCAGTCATTTCTGTCTGTTAGCGGGTACACAGGCACATCGTATATCATTACAATAGTATTTGGTTTGTAATAGTTAGAGCAATATTTTTCTGGCATTAGAAACTTGCTCTTCAATACAGCCCAAGCATGTGGGCATGGCAATTCATCAACTTGGAACCTCCCACAAACACATTTTCTCTCTAACAAGCAGACTATGTAATTCCTCCCTCCATCGTTAACCGTATGTAAGTATTCAGTTGATGGTACCACCTACATTTAAAAATAGAAATATAAGTTTTGAGCACATCTAACTGAATTACCATATGTATATTGCTGAATTACTAAGTTACATACAACTGAAATATTTGCATATAGATGAATACATCATATATTTAGACCAGCAGAATATGAACTGTAATTAGTGCAGAACGTATCAAAAGTCTGCTGTACTTTAGGCAACACGAGGCTAACAAAAATATTAGAAGGATACGTCATGACAATACATATCAAAATTACATATAATACAACTTTGTTAGTTGTATTCTGATGTATTCGACTAGGTTTTGCAGCATGTTTTTAGTTATATTCAGTTGTATTCATATCAGATCTTCGAAAAAATATGTCTTGTATGGGTTTGAATTTAGTTGTATTCATATGTATTCATGGTAGTTCTATTTAAAAAAATGATTGTATTCAGTTGTATTCATGCCATTAATTCAGAAAACAATTAAGCTATATACTACAATGACATTAAAATATAACTTACAGTCATACGTATAGACATTGCCTCATTCAAAGTGAGCATCTCCTGGTAATGTTTTCCAAGCGTCGTGTATGTCTGTGTAGCTTCTTTGCGGTTACTACAATTCCAACGTCCAAACATCTTCCTAACTTCTTCGAGGAAGTCGTATATTGGCAATTCCCTTGCTGAAACTAGTGCGGCATTGATTGACTCAGCAATATTTGACGTCATTGTCCATCCCCTGTTAACAGGTGCATACAACCTAGCCCACTTTTCGTAACCAGCTAACTCTAAGTATTCTTTCACCCTAATATCTACCTTCTCCACCTTTTCCATCAGACTGTCAAATTCAGCTTGTGTGTATGCTTTTGCCATCGAGAAGTATATCTCGCTCAACTTGGCATGGCTCTTTTTGAATTTCTTATATACGTTGTTCTATAGATGCCATATACAAGCAAAATGCGGTACATCTGGATACACTCTCGATATAGATTTAATGATACTCTCATTTCTATCTGAAACGATGCACATGTTTTCCCTGTCACCGTATGCTATCTTGAATTGCTCAAAGAACCACGTCCAAGCAGCATTGTTCTCTGAATCAATAACACCATATGCTAGTGGCAATATATTACCTGTAAATACAATTGAATATAATTATTTTGAAAACATGTGTTTCAATATTTAAAATATTAACAGATTATATTATAATTCATATACTCACCTGCACCATCCAACGTGTTTGCCGAAACGAATGTCCCGGTGTAGTAATATTTTAGGTGACTTCCATCCACAACAACAATGGGTCTACAATGATCAAACCCCTTTATAAAGGCATACAAAGATATATACACGTACTTGAATTCATTTTTTGGCGATTTTACCATTCTGATGTGGGAACCTGGATATGTCATATCCATTGTATATAAGTATCCTGGTAATTTTTTGTATGAATCAGCCGGTTCACCTCTCAAAAAAATCATTGCCTTTTCTTTAGCCCTCCACACCAACATGTAGCTAACATCTACACCTAAATCTGATTTCGCATCATCAATAATATCCTTTGGGGTGTATTTCCTCTTATGATAGTAAGCTTAGGCCTTATCATACCACCTATAAGGCTGCTACTTGCCTGCCGCTGCTCATACATCTTTTCCTTCAGCGGACATGTATGGTTATCAATGAATTCTCTCACTTTGAATAGTTCTGATTTGTTAATTCTTGAAGCCTTAAACCCCCATTCACAATCTTCTGAAATACATAATAATGCATAGCTGCAAAGAATTAATCATTGTACATATGATTAGCATAAGTGTTTACAAAAAAAATCACTCATATAAACACGAATACAATCTGACATAGATACATCCTGACATCTATATATATATATTTTTATACTACTGAATTCAGTTATAGTTATATGCATTTAAATACAATGAATACAACTGAATACAATTGGTGGTATATGTATACACTTAAAACCACAGTAGACAAAATAAGAGAATAATTATAGCAATGTATTTTTATATTTTTATATGCATACAAAGATATATACACGCCCAAGCAGCATACAAAGATATATACACGTACATGAATTTATTTTTTGGCGATTTTACCATTCTGATAATGTAATTATACCAGTAAAATAATAAAATAAATATGAATACATGTATTTAAGGACCATAAACAAACATATGTTTACTACATCTGTGATAATCAAGAGGAAATACACAAATACGCATAAATACAACAACGTTAAACTTACAGCTCGAACCAATAATAGAAAATACAAAAAAAAAAAAATTAAATACATGCAAACCTGACAGTATTAGACCTATCAACCCGCAATTGAAACCTTTGAGCTATAGCATAATTCTCCATCACCTCTTTCAATGTAGCCTTATCCTTATACACTTATCCAGCAATAACCTCCCTTTGATTAGTTTTTGAAATTATCAAATCCTTGTGGAGTTCGAACACTCCAATCGCTTCTCCTGAATTGACAAAATCTAGAGCCAGTGTATCATCTGTATTGGAATCGTACCTTTGAACTGCTTCGTCTATTTGCACAATGTCGCCTTGATTTAAACTACCTCCGGATACAAGTTCTTTTTCAATAGTTGTTATGCACAAAGGATACATCCCAAATTCTCTGTTCTCTTTTTTCAATTCTACATACACTCTGTAACCCATATCATTGTATATTTCCATTGGCGTGCAATTTCTTCTACTTTGTATTGAATTTTAATGGACTTTGAGCTCAAATCTATACCCAGTAGATTAGAAATTGAAGCAACCAGATCATTAAAGGAGGCATACTTCTTTATCAGTATTCCCTTAATTGAAAAATCGATGTAATTGCCCTCATCGTTCCACTTGCCAAAATGACGCAACAACACTGTTAAACTTGCCATATGTATAAAGGAACTATACCGTATTTTGTATATAATTTGTATCAATCTAATTTTCCGTGGTTGAATTGATATCTGCGAAAAGAGAAAAAGGAGAAGCGAATGGAAGAACTTCGAACAGATGTTGCTCTGGTTTTCGCTGTATTCACGTTTTTTGAGTTGATATCTTCGAGCAGAATACAGATTAATAGGTACTAGTTTTTGTTCGTTGAGTTAAATTAGGAGAATATCATGTGATTTGATTTCCTTCCATTTTTAACTAGTTTAACCTTCCAGATTTTGCGCAGATACGTTACTGTATTCACGTTAATGCCGCTTTAATACAGTTAAATACATATCAAACTTAGCTGGAATTCCCTTTGTAACGCCTATTTTTCCTATTGTATTAATGAATACAACAGCTTAAATACATAAAATACATTGTATAAAAACATAAAAGGTATCTATAACACGTAATATAGCAAAAGGTATCTATAAATGGCTAATTAGACCTAAAAGATGGTGCTTTATGAAAAATTCTCTACCCATTAAGCAGCCCAAATACAACCCATGAAACTCACCCAAAACAAAGAGATCTCAACCCAACTTATTTAGAAATTTACTTAGTTGCCCCAATATTACTTTTTTTTTTAATTTTTTTTTATATTTTCAATTTTCTGTTTTTTTGTTTTTCTGCACCACCCTATCCCCCTCCGCGCAAATCCTCTCAATTTTTTTTTCTGTTTTTTTGTTTTTCTGCACCACCCTACCCCCTCCGCGCAAATCCTCTCAATTTTTTTTTTGTATTTTCAATTTTCTGTTTGCTATTTTTTCGTTTTTCTGCACCACCCATCATACCCCCCCCCCCCCACCCGCAAAATATTTTTCAACTTACACATTTTAAGGTAAAAGGTTTTTTTATGCAAGATGATCATGGTTCTAAAACATGGGTCAAGTTGGGCGGGTTGGGTTATCACCCATTATTTAGCGGAAATTTTACCTCCTATAGCAAATGTTGATACCTTATTTATTTTAAATAAATACCGTTTTAAAAAATCATACTCCCTCCGTTCTAATTTATGTGAACCTGTTTGACTGGGCACGGAATTTAAGAAAAAATGAAGACTTTTAGAATTTGTGGTCCTAAACAAGTTAAAAAGGGGCCAGAGTATTTGTGTGGTTATAAAAGCTTCTTATTAAGGGTGGAATTGTAAGTTTAAGCTAAATTATTTACACATTTAGAAAGGGATCATTCTTTTTGGAACGCACTAAAAAGGAAATAGGTTCACATAAAGTGGAACGGAGGGAGTATTCCATAGCTACCTTTTGATTTTTATAGCCAAATATCTATTTATGGTCACCTCCTACCCTTAAGCCATAAAATAAGCTTTGTATTATTTTACTCTCTCATATCTTTCAGATTTTTCTCCACCCTCTCTCTCTCAACTACAGTCTTTCTCCATGAATACAATCACGATTCTCCACTGATTCATCTCCATTGTCTCGCAAAATTTTCAAATTTTTTTGCTCCAAAGTTGTGGTAAGTGTTAAAGTTGATAGGTTTTCGCTCCTAAATAAATCCCCTCGAATTGTTTTGTCTTGTAATCCTTACAGCCCTATAAGCATTACAATCCTCATGTTGCTATTTTTGCCCTAGAAGCCGCCTTACATCTTCCTTCCTCTTCCATCCACTTCTGCTATGGCGAACTGGGCAGAATTGCCGCACGAACTCATTACACGATTGCAAAGCGTGTTAAAGTGATGGAAGATTTCATTGCTTTTGGTGGTGTTTGTACTTCATGGCGAACTGCTGCTCCCAAATACAGATCGAAACGGAACTGGGTTCTTGATCGAAACGGGAACAGTGGCATTTCGAGTCAGAATCGCGGCACTCTCGACGAGACGACATTAGGGTTGTTGAACAAAGACGACGGAGTTTGGGGCTAAGCAACATGAAGATTCTGTTAATATATTTCAATGTATCTCGCTGTATTTCCATGTATTTCATTGTATTCATTGTCTTTTTTTTCATTGTATTTCAATGTATCTCGCTGTATTCCATGTATTTCATTGTATTCACTGTCTCCCTGTATTCCATGAATGTATTTATATGTTTTGTTAATTAATATAATTCATGTATTCAGATGTATATATGTATTCAAATGTATCTGCAGTATGTATTCATATGTTTTTGCACTATAGATGAATCTCGAATTTTATTGGTTGAAAACAGAGACACCCACGAACGATATCAACAGAAAAGGGAAGGATTAGAAACTCGGTGATGCTCTGTTTTGTTCTATTTATCGTCCGGGAAAAAATCTTCAACATATTCGCGTCAAATACAGGTTAATGGTGATGTAATTGAGTTATATTAGGAGTCTATTATGTTAATTGATTCACTTTCCATTTAAAAATAGCTGAATAGACCATGAATTGCGTTATTTACGTTATTGTATTCACAAATACATATCGTGAATACTGTCGAATACAGTCGAATACAATAATTATCTAGTTGTAATCCCCTATTTCACGCCGAGTTTTGCTACTGTATTCATGAACACAGTAGCTTAAATACATCAAATACACTCTAAAAACCCCGAAAACATAGCTATAGGAAGTAATATGGTAAATAGTAGCTACAACTAGCTAATAACCACTAAACAATAGTGGTTTGTGAAATTTTTTCATGTAAAGATAGTTTTAAATTTATAATTTTAGAAATTTATAATTTTTAATTTTTTGTAAATATATTAACTGCTTGTTATCAGGATCATCACTTCAATCTAAATAATCATTTTCAGCACTTGATACTTACCAATTAATTTAATTAGTTAAGCTAGACAATGGTTTAGTTAATCTCAATATAAAAAATTTTCAAAATGGAAAACTGGAGATTTTTGTGGACAAGATCATCAAAACTTCATGTATTCTTCTAGTGATAATTCAACTTAGTGGACTAATAGTGGAAATTTGGTCCCGAGT